TCCGACACCGGTTCAGTTAAGTGACTCATTTTCCGTCACCGGGGCTGGGAATGACCTTATCCTGGTGCTTTTTTTCCTTAAATGTTGTGATCTGGGCAGGCTTCAGGCTGTGGGGTTTAATTTATTTTTATTCCGTAAAAATAAACCTCGATGAGGGCGTTTGCTCCGCAATTGTCAGCCACTGAGCTCCGAAATCCTCCGGATTAAGTAAGGAAACCAAAACTCCGGACTTCCAGAGAGCCTTTCCAGGGAAGCGGGGCTCAGGAATCCGCGGTAGACTCCCGGCGTTTAACTTTTTGAGCTCCATCTTTTTCCTGAAATGGCAAACCGAGCCCTTGGTGGGTAAAATCCCATTTTTTCTGTCTTTCCAGGAGTACACCTGCCCGAGATGTGAATCCGGCTTTATCGAGGAAGTCACGGATGATTCCAGGTAACGTGCGCGTCGGCACACCCCTTGTTTCACCGCACGTTTCTCCTGGGTTCAGAATAAGAATTTTCTGCCGATGTAAAGCCTCTAAAAACTGTGGACAACGAGGATAAAGTAAGGAATGCAAGAGAAAAGCGAATAAATCCGCGTGAATTCGGACTTAATACCGGATGAGGCTGAAAATACAAGTGGCCGTCGGCCTCGTGCCGGAGCCGCGCGAGGATTTTTGGGGAAGACTCCTGGGATGATGGGAGTTTTGAACAGAAGGTCCCATGACCGAAAGCACTTGCGGGTTTTTTTGAATCTTAGAGGGAAAAGCAGGATTTTTTCCTTAGGAATCCAGTATGGCGACTCGCAGTACTGTTCTCTCTGCCTTGGTTGGCCCCAGCTCCGTCTCCGGCCTCGCCGCTCGGGCCAAGAGAGAAAGAAACAACCTTTTCCCTCTGGGACTTGGGTGTCGCTCACCCAGCGGAACGCGCTGCCTGCAAATTTTTCCTTCTGAGGGTGCTGAGGCACTGGCACAGGTTGCCCAGAGAAGCTGTGGCTGCCCCATCCCTGGAAGTGTTCCAGGCCAGGCTGGATGAGGCTTGGAGCAACCTGGTGTAGTGGAGGGTGTCCCTGCCCATGGCAGGGGGGTTGGAACTGGATGCTCCTTGAGGTCCCTTCCAACCCAAACCATTCCAGGATTCTAAAACTTAGGGATCCAAAACATGGACATTTGGTGTCCAAGACTTGTCCCAG